GTGGCTCAGCAAGAAGAAACATTGCCACTCACCGCAGAAGGCCCAGGTTCAGTCCCAGGCTCTGACAAGAAGACACCATCTACTACCACCTGAAGTAGGAGACGGATCTTCCACGGATTAGCACCTTTCATTATTCCACCACTGTCCACGGAAGCACCATGTACTACCACCTGGAGAAGGAGATCCTTTCAAGGATTGGTAGCTCCCATCCATCCACCACCATCCATAGAGAACACAGTGGGAGAGATTTACTAAAAAAATGGAGCACTCAGAATCTGATGCAGCTGTGCATGGTAGCCAATTAGCTTCTAACTTCAGCTTGTTCAGTTAAGCTTTGACAATAAAACCTAGAAGCCGATTGGTTTCTATGCAGAGCTGCACTAGATTTTGCGCTCGCTAGCTTTAGTAAATCTAACCCAATGTCACATGAAGGAGCTTTAAAGAATTTGCAGTCATTCCACTACAGTCCACAAAGGACTGTAAAAGTAGACCCTTAAAGGGATTGGCAGCTCCCATTCTTTTACTGTTCTTTACAATGGACACCATCCACTGCCACCAGCAGGATGGAGGGCAAAGTGTATTTTCAGCAGTCTTTTTAGTAGCATTTTCTGAGCTGTCAGCAAGGGAAAGTGACCATTTCAAAGATTGGCAGCTTCTGTCTTTCAAACCACCATCCACTGTCACTTGGAAAGGAAACTACTCCAAGAATTGACAAATCCTCTCCTTCCACCACCATCCATAGGGGACATCATGTATTGCAACCTGGAGAAGGAATACCTTGCAAGCAGTGACAGCTTCCACTGTTCCACTACAATCCACACAGGACGCTTTCCACACAATCAAAAAGGTTTGCAACTTTCATCGTTTAACAACAGTTCTTATAGGACACCTTACATTGCTACCAGAAGTAGACCCTTCCAAGGATTAGCAGTTCCCATCCTTCCATTGTACACTACAGAGAATGCCACCCACTGCCAGCAGCAGGAAGGAGAGAGAAGACCTTTTTTAGCAGCCTTTTAGAAACATTTCCCACATGTTAAAAATTGGGGATTTTTACATTTACAGTTGCCATAGCACTGTAGTATAACCAAATATATACAGCAAAGGCAAGAACGCGTAGAAAGTCAATAGATGCATACCTGGTCTGTATATTAAGGGCGCCTTTCTAACCCGCACAAGTAATTTGTGCTTCTGTTTGCATCTATCAGGCTTGTATTGTGGTCTGCTTGCTAATTAACCTCCTTTATCGCTATTTAATTGCGTATTTGGTGATTGTAAATGGCCCATTTTATGGTTACAAGAAATACCACATATTTTACCTAGTGATTAACGCACTCTCGATTAATTCATGCAAATGACACCAAGCATATTAATACACGGGAAATCCTTATGTATGTGAATTGCATTACTGATGCAGATTTTCACTCTGAGACAAAAATCAAGCCTGACCATGCTGAACAAAGTGTCAGCTCTATGTACCAAATCAAGAAAAATAATTTCCCTGTCTGAACGCTATAGCAGCTAGTCTGAGTGTATTTTGTCATCCACCCTCGGGCAGGTGTGCTACCTGCCGATTTTCTCAAGTAAATTGACATTTCCTGATTTTACCTCCCCCTGTTGTGGCAAGATGACTTCCTTCCTACACCTGCTGAATTATGTCAGGAAAAGGAGGATGGGTTTTTTTCTGGAAGAAGGAGGGCTTCCCAGGAAGGGGCAGAGCTGTGGTGCACTGTGTGGATATGCAGAATGATACAATGTTGCCTATAGAGCAAGATATCCCTAATAGAGCCATTAAAGGGAACTGTAAATGGGCTGAAAAAGATGGGGCTGTACAACCCCTACTGAAATGCAGATGAAGGGCAGTGTCAGGGGGAGTAGTAATCACTATGAGAGGTAAAAAATATCTGAAGTGTTATACTTACACATTACTTAGCATGCAGCACTTACAGTGATATTTAAAAATATATCTAATGACAGGTCCACTTTAAGAACACGGGTGTCAGATGTGAATCCACCCAGAGGACATCTGTCCAGGCTTCTCCTGCTGGGCCTGTCAAAGGTAAATGACACGCAGAATATAAAAATTCTGAGAAGACCGCAGTAGGATCAGAGAGGTCATGGAACCCACCAGCATGGCACAGGTTAAATATTAGATTCAATTTATCATTTTTGGCAGAGAAGACCAAAAGAAGAAAAGCGAGAGTGGAGAAAAATCATAATAAAAACCCAGCGGAATCGATGGAGTGCTGTAAGCCAGACCGTATTGATTTGTTTTTTTTCCTTCTCAATCCAGACAAATTGTTTAGCAAGACAGAAGATTTTTCTGACACACTAATTGACGGGGGAGCATTCCACACAGCAGCTGGCCAGCTACAGAACCTTCTGGAAAAAAAGTGCTTGCAAACTGAGGAAAAGGAACCACAAGTCCCAGCCGGCACTGCAAGCCTCTGCCTAAAGGGAAGGTATAGAGTTGCAGGTCTGCTGGATGCCACACACCTTTCCTGGTCTGAAGGTTTAGCTCTGGGTGTGTATTCATATATATATATATATATATTTTTCCTAAAAAAATTCATTCAAGACCATGTTGCAAAAATGAATACACCCCAATGAAATTCTTAGACAACAAAATCCTAATTAACAAATTAACAATAATTCAACTACAGGTGAGTCTAATTATTCATTAAACCGTGTTCAGCAGAAAGTTGATTATAAAAGGGCATTACTTAAAGAAAACCCCTCCTATTTCATGCTGTCAGCAACGGCACCACAAGGAAGAGAAATGTCACAAGGCTCAAGAAAGAAAATAATTTCTTTACACAAGAAGGTGAAGGCTACAAGATCAATAAAACTTCACTTATCAGTCAGAATACTGTAGCAAAAGTGATAGAAAAATTTAACAAAGATAGAACTGCAACCATCTCACACTGTCTTGTGATGAGAAGGGTTGAAGAAAAATCACCATGCAAGTTCACTGAAGTTACTTTAGCTAAAGAAATAGAAAGCCAAACTGGGGTGATTGTTTCCTGTGACACAATATGGCGTACACTGAAGAGGAATGGCATGCTTGAGTGTCGTCCAGGAAGGAAGCCTCTCCCAAAGCTCATGCATAAAAAGCCTACCTAGAATATGCCAGGGCCCATCCTGAAAAAAAAGAAGACTATTGGCACACTGTACTCTGGAGTGATGAGACCAAGATAAATGTTTTTGGAACTGATCGCTTCAAAACTGTATGGTGTCACAAAGGTGAGGAGTACAAAGAAAAATGCATGGTGCCTACAGTGAAACATGGTGGTAACAGTGTCATTCTGTGGGGTTGCATGAGTACTGCTGGTGTCAGGGAGCTTCATTTCATTGATGGTATCATGAATTCACAGATGTACTGCTCTACATTGAAAAAGAAGATGCTACCATGACTCCGTGCCCTTGGTTGTTGTGCACTTCCGACATGACAATGATCCAAAACACACATCTAAGGCCACTTTTGCATTTCTGAAGAACAGGGTGAACGTGATTCAGTGGCCAAGCATGTCTCCTGATCTGAACCCAATCGAACACCTATCGGGAATTTTAAAAAGACAAGTTGAGCATCACTCTTCAACCAGCATCCAGGCTATAAAAGAGGTTGTTCTTGAAAAATGGAAAAATATAGATGTTGCAATATGTCGCCAACTTGTTCATTCCATGCCTAGAAGACTTTGTGCTCTCCTTACAATTAATGGAGGACATACAAAATACTAGATGCAGTAGTTTTCGCTGTGGGGTGTATTCATTTTTGCATCAACTAACTTAAGCAAAAATGAAGATCTTGTAATGTAAGTTATATTATTACTATTACTTTCATGTAATGAGCTAAACAAATGTTCTATAAAACTCACTTATGTCAAAAAGAGTATGTGTATATATACGTATATATATTTCTACACACACACAGTTGTGCTCAAAAGTTTGCATACACTGACAGAAATTGTGAAATTTTGGCATTGATATTGAAAATATGACTGATCATGCCAAAAAATGCTCTTTTATTGAAGGATGATGAGCAATGAAGCCATTTATTATCAAATAATTGTTTGGCTCCTTTTTAAATCATAATGTTAACAGAAATCACTCAAATGGCCATGATCAAAAGTTTACATACCCTGGAATGTTTGGCCTTGGTACAGATACACCAGATGACACACACGGGTTAAAATGCCAATGAGAGGTTAATGTCCCTCATCTGTGGCTTTTTAAATTGCAATTAGTGTCAGTGTATAAATAGTCAATGAGTTTGTTAGCTCTTATGTGGAAGCACTGACTAGGCTAGATACTGAGCCATGGGGATCAGAAAAGAACTGTCAAAAGTCCTGCGTAACAAGGTAATAGAACTTTATAAATATGGAAAAGGACATAAAAAGATGTCCAAAGCCTTGAATATGCCAATCAGTACTGTTAAATCACCTATTAAGAAGTGGAAAGTGGAAAGCTTGTATAACAGTGTAAATGTGATGTCCCCTCAAAATAACTCAACACACAGCCCTTAATGTCTAAACCGCTGGCAACAAAAGTGAGTACACCCCTAAGTGAAAATGTCAAAATTGGGCCCAAAGTGTCAATATTTTTTGTGGCCACCATTATTTACCAGCACTGCCTTAACCCTCTAGGGCATGGAGTTCACCAGAGTTTCACAGGTTGCCACTGGAGTCCTCTTCCACTACTCCATGACGACATCACGGAGCTTAGAGACCTTGCTCTGCTCCACCTTCCGTTTGAGGATGCCCCACAGATGCTCAATAGTTTAGGTCTGGAGACATGCTTGGCCAGTCCATCACTTTTACTCTCAGCTTCTTTAGCAAGGTAGTGGTCGTCTTGGAGGTGTATTTGGGGTTGTTAAGTTGGAATACTGCCCTGCGGCCCAGTCTCCGAAGGGAGGGCATCATGCTCTGCTTCAGTATGTCACAGTACATGTTGGCATTCATGGTTCCCTCAATGAACTGTAGCTCCCCAGTGCTGGCAGCACCCATGCAGCCCCAGACCATGACACACCCACCACCATGCTTGACTGTAGGCAAGACACACTTGTCTTTGTAGTCCTCACCTGATTGCTGCCACACACGCTTGACACCATCTGAACCAAATAAATTGATTTTGGTGTCATCAGACCTTCAGCAAACTGTTTGCGGGCTTTCTTGTGCATCATCTTTAGAAGAGGCTTCTTTCTGGGATGACAGCCATGCAGACCAATTTGATGCAGTGCGGAGCGTATGGTCTGAGCACTGACAGGCTGACCCCCCACCACTTCAACTTCTGCAGCAATGCTGGCAGCACTCATACATCTATTTCCAAAAGACAACCTCTGGATATGATGCTGAGCACGTGCACTCAACTTCTTTGGTCGACAATGGTGAGGCCTGTTCTGAGTAGAACGTGTCCTGTTAAACAGCTGTATGGCCTTGGCCGCCATGCTGCAGCTCAGTTTCAGGGTCTTGGCAATCTTCCTATAGCCTAGGCCATCTTTATGTAGAGCAACATTTTTTTTTTTTCAGATCCTCAGAGAGTTCTTTGCCATGAGGTGCCATGTTGACCTTCCAGTGACCAGTATGAGAGAGTGAGAGCGATAACAAACTTAACACACCTGCTCCCCATTCACACCTGAGACCTTGTAACGCTAACAAGTCACATGACACCAGGGAGGGAAAATGGCTAATTGGGCCCAATTTGGACATTTTCACTTAAGGGTGTACTCACTTATGTTGCCAGCTCTTTAGACATTAATGGCTGTGTATTGAGTTATTTTGAGGGACAGCAAATTTACACTGTTATACAACTCACTACTTTACAGTGTAGCAAAGTGTCATTTCTTCAGCGTTGTCACATGTAGAGATATAATAAAATATTTACAAAAATGTGAGGGGTGTACTCACTTCTGTGAGATACTGTGTGTGTATATATATATATGAAAATAATTATTTTATCCCCTGCAGATCTTGTAAGTTTCCCACTTACAAAGAAATGAAGGGTCTATAGCTTTTATCATAGGTGTATTTTAAATGATAGAGACAGATTATCAACCAAAAATCTAGAAAAACACTTAAGACAAATGTTATACATTAAGCTGCAATTTAGTGAGTAAAATATGTATTTGATCCCCTACCAACCAACCAACAATAATTCTGGCTCCCACAGACTGGCTATGTGCTCATGTGGTACATGTAGCCCTGTCAACTTAAGAAGGTGCTCCTAATGACAACTTGTTTTGTGTAAACATTAAAAATACTTCTTTCCTAACCTGTGATTCTACCCCTGTAGTGTATGGCTTAGAATGTCCTTGTGGCCATATCTACACTGGAAGAACCAAGCGACAGCTTAAGGTTAGGGTTCTTGAACATTTAAGGAATATCAGTAAGGGGTACAAGTATCATAGTGTATCTCTACATTTTAAGAAATGTCACAATTGTGACCCAACTAATATAAAATTTTGGGCTATTAAATCTATTCCTAAAGCTTGAAGGGGTTCTAATAGAGTTAAGGAACTATCGAAATGTGAAACAAAATGTATATATTTGACTGAAGCTTTATCTCCTAAGGGATTAAATGTTGAACTGGATTTAAATTGCTGTATTAGTGATTTATGATTTTATATTATTTTACTGATTGACTGTTTTTTTTATTTTGATTCTATTATTAAATTTTATATATATATTGCATGTTTTTTGATATATATATATATATATATATATATATATATATATTTTTTTTTTTTTCTTCGAATACTTATTTAAATTTGTGATTATGTTAAATTATTGATGTTATATTGATTTCTGTACACAAGATAGCACTATTGTGAGCAGGTCATCTGGGGTTTATATACATTGAATCCTGCTTAGTGATAGTGATGCACCCTCAGGTGTTTTTGTGATTGGGCCAATTAGGAGGGATTAGGCTCTATAAGAGCGCCCTCCATGCACAGCTTACCACTCCCTTGGAAGAAGTCATTGGACGAAACACGTTAGGGTGTGGCTATCAGGTGACGTCACCACGCACGCCGACACACGTGTCCGGATCACGTGATCGCACTACCGCCATCTTGAGTGCAGGCAGGCTGGTGAGACGCTGGATACAGGGCTCTGAGCCCTGATGTAACAAATGCTTTAATCTTACTTACTTGTTGTGAGTGTGATTTTAAGGGGGTTTTTTTTTACAATAAATCTGTTGGATAATATTACACTATGGCGAGTTCTTTTTTTATCCACATGAGCTAATTTGGATATGAGAGGATCTTCTTTTGGAGTTTGTTTGGTGGAATACCGGATATATATTGATATGCTGATTGATTACCAACACATGAGGATCTTCTTTTGGAGTCTGTTTGGTGAATGCTGGATATATACTAATATGCTGGTTGATTACTAGCACATGGTGAGTGTGCATTTTGATGGGGTGTTCTGAGCACTGAATATCACATTTGATGAAGGAGGATCTCAGTACTTCATTGATTGAGGATCATTGATATATGGACTTTTTTGAATGGACTCTATTGAGATCCCTTATTTATGTTATTGCACTATTAATTTGCACATATTTTTGTGGTGGTTATATATATTTAATTTATTGATTTAATTTAGAAATGCGCTATTATTTGTGGTTATTTTGTTTATCACAACTTATTATTATTAAAAATACACCTATGATAAAAAAAAATTTTCCCTACTGTGTATGTATATATATATGCATCCCAGTCTCTGGGGGGGGGGGGGTCATAATGGCTAAAGGTCTTTTTTTTTTTTCCGGGGGGGGGGGGGGGGGGGCAGCAGCCATGTGGGTCTCTATCTGGTTGAGATGCCTGCCAGTCATCTCCATCCTGCACACACTCCTCCATCCAGTCATCTCCATCATACACACACACACAGTCACCTCGATCCAGTCACATCCTCCAAACCTCCATCCAGTCACTCCAATCCTGCACACACACAGACATCTCCATCCTCCCTTGTTCTACACTGCACATTCCCTATTTAACTTTACCACACCCTGCACTATGCAAGTCATCTCAAACTCTAAGCACACCTCTTTAAACCATGCTACCACAACCCAGCCACTTTTTACAGTGGCTACAACCACGCCCATAACATATGAATGCCCCACCCTAATTAAAGTAATGTCCTGCCTACAGAGGCTTTCCCACCACACAGAAAAAAGTCTCCCTATAAAACTTTTTTCCAATGTTGGCAAATATGCTAAAGGGGAGGTTGCACCATGGGTGTGTGGAGCGCACAGGGAGGACCCCAGCAGTGTAGTGACACCCTTCAGTCTGAAAAGCAGACTGGAGGCTTCAGGAGAGCTCAGCAAGTAAAGACAGAGTTAGCACTGCCACTGGATCATTGGCTCCTGCATCTGGTGTCTGTGGAGACTAACTGCAAGACTGGCTGAACAGATTCTTTGACAATTGACAGGTGTGTGTATTCCATCTGTGAATTTAGCGGTGTCTAGAATTCACATTTAAATCTCTCTCGCATATACTTTACAGAAAGGCAGCATTGTCAGGAAGTGTTTTGGAACTATAGATTTCTTCCCCCCTCTCCTCATCTCCATAACATATGGTCAAGGTGTTCTGCAGTCCACAGAAAACTGGATAGGGCTGAGAAAACTGTAGATAGCACAAGACGTTAGGAGCTCAGAAGATCACAACATTCACCTGAAAATGCCCTAACCTGCTTTCCTCTCCAGGAGGTTGGCACCATCTTTGTTCAGCCATCATTCAGAATGATCTACTTCCTGGACTGAGATGCCAGTTCAGAGACGGCACAATCCTGGTGCCTGTGCAATTCCTGTCTGTGTTCACAAATCTCTGGCACAGATCAGCCTCTGCTGCAGCCCCTAAATTTGTGACTTTCTACAAAGTTTTAATGTTTTAGTCTGATCACTAGGGAAAGGAGACTGAGGAAATGTTTCCTCCTGCCTGTGCCAGACTGATGGCATTAGCTCATCCTAGGTTAAAATGGTACTAAAGCCAAGAGATTTTAATGCATTCCCTGCATTAAGGTAAAAAATGTCCCACTGTTTGTATCGCCCCCTCGCCACCCTCATACTTACCTCACTCGATCCAGCACTATGCCAGTCTTTAATGGTTCTCTCCTCTCTCCCTGCATTCACTTAAGAGAGAGGCAGCAGCAGGAGCCATTGAATCCTGCTGCTGTCAATCAAATTCAGTAAGCAGAGAGTGGGCAAAGGGGTCAAGCCGCTCTGTGTGTCTCCATGGAGAAACACAACCTGCCTAGGGAACGAGCCCACACGTCTACCCCCATAGGAAGTGTGTGAGTTAGGTGCAGCATGGTGTGGTGGGCAGTGAGCACACAAAGTCCAAATATGTCAAAGCAATATATTGTAGAAAAAGTTCAGCAAGTACAAACTGGCCCAGTGTGAAAGCACACCTTTCTGTAGCCACTTACAAACTATACAGTGATGGAGGAGCAGTCTGAAGACCTGAAGCATCTGCCTGGCCAGTCTGAGCCAAAGGAAACACTTCCTAGTAAAAGGTAGACGTGGTACCTGCACTCTCCTTAACCTTTCCACATTTCTGAGCACTGTCCCTAACAGTCAGGGAGCATATCCTTATGCTTGCCACTCGCATTAAACGCGCCAAGCCTGGGAGTTGGAGTCTTAAATAGACTCTGCCTGACCCAAGATGGCCACCGGGGACATATGGGGCACCAGCATCCAATCAGATAGCTGCCCCCCCCCATGTGAACTAAGAAATCATAGAGGTACTAAGTTCCTCTTAACTTTCTCCCCCCATCTGCATTTCCACTGTGGTTTAGAGCCACCTGCAGTAGAGAATACAGACTGCACCTGTGGTTTCCCATGGTGGCACATGGAGAACAGGAGGAGGATGCAAGTGTCAGCGCGAGACCCCAGAAGAGGTACCATTGCACAGAGAAGGTAACTATAACATGTTAGTTTTTTTTTTTTTTTTAAATACTACTTACTTAATTACTGACTGGATCTCAAAGATGGCTTTATACTTATAAAGGTGAATCTTTTTGGGAAAAATTATACTGTTGCTGAAGATGGTACAAGATCAAAGTTTATTTGTGAAGTTCAGCATCAGTATGTGCTGCCGAACTTAGTTATATGTACATCTCCATGTACAGTTTCCTCATAGTTCCTCTGCAAAGCAGCACAAACACCTGTTGATTCTGCCAGCACTGACAGCACAGCCTACCTGTGACCATGGAAGTGATTGGAACACCTGAATCCAGTGATTTGGAGGGCTGGCCCAATACTTTTGGCAATATAGTGTATTTATCCAGAAAGAAAGAGAAAGATAATATTCGGGTATTCTTTCAAAAATTAATGCGGCAAACTCTGAAATATCAGTCATGATTGTAAGCTCCAAGGAGCAGGGCCCTCCATTCCCTCTTGTATTGAACTGTATTGTTGCTGTATTGTCTCCCGTTATATTGTAAAGCGCTGAGCAAACTGTTGGCGCTATATAAATCCTGTATAATAATAATAATCAGTTTATAGGGAAGCAAAAAGGACCAAACTGTCTTTGAACAAAAAAAAGTTAAAACGTTTT